AAAGGAAGGAGAGTGCCTCATGGATGGTTGAGAGAATGGGAGAAACAGGGTTCGCTGCTATGACACAAATGAAAATGAAGAGAAGTTTGAACAATATAAATGGCAAAGGATAATTGGGAAAAATAATAAAAATATAAAGTAAAATTTAGAATTTTTTTTTTCTTGATAGAAGACTATGAAAATATCACATAAATGATAGTATATAGATTTTTTTTTTAAAAGATAGAACATAATCAAATACTAAATTTTAATGTTGAAAAACCTGAAGAAAAAGTTATATGATCTAGTGAGAGAAAAATTTCAAATAATAATAATAATAATAATTAATGGATACAATTCAAGTTTTTTTGAGTTTAAAAAAGTCAACAAAATATTTTTTTCCACCAATAAAGTGAATAATAGATAATCATAACAAGTATCTAACAAAATAATAGAAAATCAAAATATAGATTAACGAAAACTAAACAACATCTTTTCTGGACTAATTTCTTTGTACAAAGTTATTATGAGTACTATGTTTTTTTTTTTTAACTTGATAGCTTATTTTTGGTTATCATCCCGAGACACTTTTTATCTATTATTTGTTCTTTATTTCTTGTTATTTATTTTTGCCTTAAAGGACTTAAATATAAATAAAGATAATCTTATAATGGATTAATAATTCATAAAGAAAAAATATTTTTATTCTTTTTAACTTAGTCAACATGAATTCAATAAATTAGTGACTCATCTGACAAATTTCTCCCTCACCAATTATTTGGAGTTATCCCCTAGTAGTTAACAACACAAACTCGTGAGATAAAAATTTATTAAAAAAATGAATATCTCTAGTAGATCTTCTCAACTGAGGCTTCATAAAGGATTTCAATAATAAGCTGAGTTAAATGGTTTATTGGCTTAAGTCTTAAGCATGTCATTTACTTTCTCTAAATCAACATTAATATCTCCCTTGTGTTCTAAAATACTTGTAGGAGATTTAGACTCAATATCAATATACTCATGAGCAGTATGTCTTGATTTCTCTTTCTTATCAATATCTTTAATAGTCTGATTTCAAGAAAAATAATATTTCAACTTCTAACAATCTTCTTATCAACCAAATCTCAAAGTTTGTAATCAAAATCATTACGGTCATGTCCCAAAAAAAAATATATTGTTTAGACTTTCCATCAAGTTTAGATATTTCATTTTATAGGTAATTGATATAAATTATTATTAGTTTGAAATTAAATAATTTTATAATTTTAGCTATTTTGGAGACTAACAAAATTTATTATACTTAATTTAAAACAAATATATGTTTTTTTTATTTCTATTAACCATACATAACATTTTCATTAATTTCATTAAACATATATCATTCCCATAATAAAATATTAAATTACATGTATAAAAAATAATTTTCTTTTATAAATGAAAATTCAATGCACAATTCATTCATATGTATATTTATATAATTTGATTCCATTCAAATGATACACTGAATCAAAATTCACTCATTTACCTCCCTTATGCATGCCCTATATAAAATCATATGAATTGAAACTTGTATCCTCGCACACTTGATCAATTATGGTGTGAGTTCAAGTACGTGCAGTGAAAATATTTCCATACTTTAGGTGAAAATATTATTATTTTTTTAAATTAATATATGTCAATATTATGTTAATGTTATTTTGGCAGGATTATTTTTCAAAGTTTTTAATCGGGGCTTCTTTTTCATGATATCGTGAAATTTTTGTCTGTTTGTATTGGTTTAAAACAATCTTAATCATGGTTGATCCAGATTTTTTTGGATATTAGAAAAAAAAACTCATCTTTAATATTGGACAAAGAAAAAAATAACACCGATAACCTTAACAAAATATAATCACGACAATTAAAAAAAATATATTAGCATTCAGAAAAATAGTTTTGTCATGATTGAAATGTTTTTTACCAATTAACATTAACCAATAAATAACTCTAACCTATGATGAATAAATCATCTCAACAATAAAAATTAAAATTAGTCTATCAATATTTATTATATTTTGTTTACACATAAGCCTGCAATTCATAATTTTTTATCTAAAATTTATTAATTTTAATTTGATTAAAAAATTTAAAAATATTAATATATCTATATCAAAATAATTAATTAAAAAATGTTCAAATAAAAAATTTAAAATATTATAAATTTTAAATTATATTAATAAAATTAATTTTTATTTTAAATTTAATTATCTAATATATAAATTATAAGAAAAGAGATTAGTTAAGTCCTATAAATCATTATTGTAATTTTTTTTAGTATTTTATTAATATAAAATAGTAGTCCATCTTTGGAGACTGTATATTTATTCTTGAGATCTACGTATCAAATTAAAAAAATATTATCATTAATATAGATCAAACAACATGAATTAAAAATAAGCATCATTAATTTCAATTTAAAAGAAATCACAGCTGACATTTAAAAAAATAATGTTGAACCTGCAATGGCCAAGCTAAGTTGGCCACATCCTGTTAATAGCTAGCCAATGAAAGATAAAAAAAAATAAAAATAAAAATTTGAGATTTAGGGTGTAAGAACAAATTTGAACTTTTTTATTTAAAATTATTATTTTTTATTTTAAATAGTCAAATTATTTTTGTAAAGGTCTATAATTTTAATATATTTTAAAAATATCTATTCAAATATCATATTTTATCATAAAATATTTTAATATCATTTTGAAAATAATTCCTTTTTAGAAAATTTCTATCCAATATTAATTTATTTCATATAAGTATCTTATTTGTAATTTAGTTCTTCTACATGATATCTAGTTCTAATTCATATAATTAGCAAACTAAGAATCAAACTCCAATGTTGTTTACAAATGGGAATCAAATCAATAATATGTAATAAAATAAAAAAATTATATTATAATATAAACCTTTATTCAAGGAGAATATCATTATTTTTTTTTTACTTACACGAGTGAAAAAATAATTTCAGCAACATCAATAGAATAATTTTGACAATCACCGCTTAAAAAGAATTATTACTCATTTCAACTTAAAAGAGCTAGGAGCTTACATTAGCTAAAAAAAATATTGACTAAACTGATAACACCTGGTCAAGAACAAGCCAATAAAAAAATCAACAGTAAGGATGAATGAAAATTTTCAATTTTCAAATTTTTATTTGAAATTTTAAATCTTTTAATTCCAAGCGTCAAATTATTTTTGTAAAGTTCTGAAATTTTCATTTATTTTAAAATTATTCATTCAAATAACATATCATAAAATATTTGAAATACATATCATAAAATTCGTTGGATAAACCTTGAGAATTTCTTTAAAACACGTAAGTCTAAAACTGTAGAAAATTGAAAATCAAGTATATAAGATTAGATATATGCTTAACCTTTTTCTTTTAAGAAGAACAGAGAAGAAACATTAGGAAGCCTTAACAGTAGAAAGTACCATATATACATTCAAAAAGTGAAGAAGATATGGCCAAAATGTACATAGCTGGAAACACATAGCGCAGGTGAGATTCCCATGAGGAGTAGCAGCGTTGCAATGTTGTCATGTTGATGTAATCAAACAAGATTCTCAGTGCAATACATGGTTGTTGTGGCAGGAGATATATGTTGTTGTGCTGTGGTGACCACAACACTCAATCATTTCAGCACAATTTTTCTTTTCTCCTTTTCCCTTCACTTGACAGGTACTCTCCATCATGCAACTCTAGCCGCATATATTATCCATCACATTTCTCATCTTTATATCAAGATATAAAGGAACAAGAGGAAAAAATTCTCCACCCCATAAAAAGTTACCCCACGTAATTTTTGGATGTGTAGTTGGGTGTTGTTTTCATCATGGGTTACCACGAGTGCCATTTTCATTTAGTGGATTCTGTGAATTTTGGCGAGAAAAGACATAGTCAAATTGATACGAAGTGTTTTTTTAAACAAAATTATAAATTTTATTATGTTAATAGGTAATGTGTAAAATGTTTTAAACCTTAGTAAGATTGTCTAAACTCCTAAGAAAAACCACATGGCTCATAACATAACTGCCATATTAGACAGATAATATAACTTTTTCATGAAAATAAACATATTATATTAAAAATATTATCTACGATAATTCATTCAAAATAAACTATGAATTAACAGATAAATATTCTTCATATTTTAAAAATATTTTCGTAGTTAAACCCAATAAACAAGATTTTCGGATCTTCTTTCACGTACGAGAATTTATGTACTCATAATACTAGTTTATGAGCCAGGGTCAACAGTACTATGAGCTACCCAAAATTTGAAGCCGGTTAAAAAAACAAAACCACAAAAGAAAGTCAACTTCGATCAATTTGTTGAAGAGTCCAAGAATGGGTTGGGTAGTGGGCTTAAAGAGTCCAAGAATTTCCATACGAGCTTTGTTATTCCCACCCCATTTTGTTAAGTTAAACATCAAAATTTTGTAGATGAAAAATTCCTTGATAAAAACACATTTCCATTTTGACTAATACACAGCAAAAGTTTGTTTCCATTGAGTTAGAAGGTATGAATTTACCATACAAAAGAAACTTTAGGTTATGGTATGTATCCCAAACTAGTGTTTATATAAAAAAATGTTCATGTCATATTACTTTTTTGGTAAAAAATCACACAATATATTTATACAAAAATTTAACATGCAGAAACTAATTACGTTCTATTATTTTTAAAAATTAACACATAAAATTTCTTTGATTAAAATTTTGTTAAGCTAAAGAAAAAAGATAATTTATGATGGTATTTATGTAAAATTATTAATGGGAAAGGTGGGCGAGCTTAGAGATAACAGGGGTGGGAATAGCAATGCTGATTCTATACTAATAGTTACAGATCCCTAATTGAACCGGCCCGACAAAAGCCCAGTAAACATCATATGCATTCTCCGTCAGGGGTAGTGGTAAGTTGTGAGTGAAAGGATTGATTCCTTTTTTCACTCTGTTTTTAGCCTCTCGGAGTGGAAAAATGGATCGGAGCTCTTTCCGGTCGGGAATGCGAAAATCCAACCCTAAACCCGACATTTACTCCACCTTCGTGGTTCACGACGACGAAGACGATGAGGAAGACGACGGAGAGACCAACCGCCGGCGGAAAGCCGGCGGGGCGCAGCCGCGTGATGATCCTTACGCGACCATGATGTACAAAGACAACGGCCGCGATGACGAAGACGAATACTCCTCTCTCCCACCGCTCCTCCAGCGCCTTCCCAAGGACTTCGGCGGCGGAGCACCGCTGGACTACAATGACGAAGATGACGACGCCGGCGACTTCGGCACCGTGATCGTGAAGAGCGACCGGAGCCGGCAGCGCGATCGTCCTTCTTCCAGCTTGGCTTCGCCGCCATGGAAGTCACGGGGCTCCTCTCAGGCGAGTCCTCTGAATAGATTCGGCGGTGAGGAAGACGACGGCGATGAGGAAGATGACGGCGGCGGATTCTCGACGTTCGTCATGCGTTCAACGCTGAAGTCTGACGAGAGAGAGTCTATAAGCGGAACCGTTGTGCGACGGACCTCCGGCGGCAGCGGGGGCGTTGGTTCGATGATGGAGAGAGCCGTGGCGAGCATGCAGGGGATGGGAGATTTTGGATTCGGAAAGCAGAGGAAGGGAAGTGGATCTTCGCAGAACGATGAGGGAAGGCATCAATCGTTAACGACTAAGGTTTCGACGAGTTCGATTCCTGAAAGTATTACCAGAGAGGATCCTACGATCAAATACGAATTGCTCAATGAACTTGGTAGAGCAATTCGAGTTCATTCCTTTAATTTTTCATTCATGTTATACTCTTCTGATTGACCGCACATTAGGAATTGTTGTAATTGTGGTGTTTATGTCGGGGATGATGGAATGCAGGGAAGGGTTCCTATGGAGCTGTTTACAAAGCAAGGGATTTGAAAACCTCGGAGATGGTTGCTATCAAAGTGATATCCTTATCCGAAGGGGTAAGTTTATTTGTGTTCAGATACTTGTTTGGTGCTTTGATCAGACTAAGTTTGAACTGTTTTGAATGACTTTTTGGATTGTTATTGTGCTTATCAGGAGGAAGGGTATGAGGAAATCCGTGGTGAGATTGAAATGTTACAACAATGTAATCATCCTAATGTTGTCCGTTATCTTGGAAGCTATCAAGGAGAAGAGTATCTTTGGGTAAGAAGTCATTTTGTAACCTTATCTTGTTGTTCATATAGCTCTTCTTTTGTGAAACTATTTGTATATTTAGAATTTTGTGGTGACTTTGGATTAATGATGATGTGTTTTTGTTTGTTTGGGCTTGCTTGTGGTTATGGTGGTGATTGGCCAATTTTTACTTTAGAGGGATGCCTTATGAAGAGAGAGACTGGCAAAATTGTTCTTTTTGGCTTTTGTTTGTTCTTGGTTCTTTCACAAGGATCTCTTTCTTAATTTATAATTATTAGCTCTTGTCTTTCTCTATGCTTCTTTTGTACAAATTTGCTTAATCCTAGTTGAGTATGATTTTGTCTGTTAAAATATGTTTTCTGAATTCTGATTAAGTTTTTGGCAGATAGTGATGGAATACTGTGGTGGTGGTAGTGTTGCTGATTTGATGAGTGTGACTGATGAGCCACTGGATGAGGGTCAAATAGCATATATTTGTAGAGAAGCACTAAAGGTATGGTTGATGGCATTTGTTAAAATTGACTGTTTGACTTCTACCAAGGTTTTCAGCTGAAGTATTATTAATTGATTTTGATAGAATTCAGAGAGCAAAGTGCTTCAATAGATTTGTTTGAACCAAGTTTTCTGTCGTGTCTGTATGTTATTTTTTTTTTTTTTTACTTTTCCCCTAATAGTTTACCTAATTATGTGTAGGGTCTTGATTATTTGCACAACATTTTTAAAGTCCATAGAGACATTAAAGGTGGGAATATCTTATTAACTGAACAAGGAGATGTCAAGCTAGGTGAGTACCGTAGTTATATGATGGTTGTCATATTGTTTCCTTGCACATGAGAACTATAATAGTGGTATGCGTTAAATATTTTTGGATGGGCTAACAGAACAACTACTCTAAATTGTTGTATAAACTACTACCTAGAAGCTATTAAGAAATGAAAAAGTGATTTTGTGGTAGATAATTTCCTTTCTAAATGGTTACTGCAACTACAAGGTGAACAAGTAGTTGGGTCCCCTTATGGTCATAGGTAAAGATAAGGCTACTTCACACAGTTAAAATTATTAATTGAATGTTCTCCAATTCACCACAATGTCAATGTCTACAATTAGAACTGTCTTTGTATTTGGAGCTAAGCACTATTGTTAATATATCTTCTGATCGATGCATGTCCTTGCCCATGGCTATGCCTGCATCAATTTTGGGAGTTTGGAAGGAGAATCTAGCATTTAACTTAGCAGTTAACACATTCTTCCACTGCATGATACTTCCAATATTCACTGGAAAATCTGGCATTCAGATTTTCATACTTCAATATCCCTTCCTAGATAAAGTTTAAAATTACAGGCATTTCAATATTTATACTGTATGCTTTGCCAATTTGTACTTTCAATATATTGAATATATTTCTGGAGCTAAAAACACATGTACTGAAATTTTTGTGTATAAAATGTTAGAAATGAATAAGAAAAATTAGCCAATGACAGTACTTGTAATTTTCCTTTCAATTGTATGGGCCTCAACCCAAAGGGATACAATAGAGAGGATATTGGCCTCAACCCAAACCCTTAACCTAGCCCAAGGAACATACAAAGAGAATAAGCAATAATGGACAAACAAACATGTCTCAACACTCCCCCTCAAGCTAGAGCATATAGATTGTATGCACCAAGCTTGGAACATATGAACTGAATCCTAGCTCCTCTCTAGGACTTAGTTAAAATGTCCACTAGTTGTTCATTAGAGCTTACAAATTCAGTTACAAGTTCCTTAGACAATAACTTCTCTCTAACAAAGTGACAATCAATCTCGATATGCTTTGTTCTTTCATGAAACACTAGGTTAGAGGAAATGTGGAGTTGTTTGATCCACACAAGTTCACATGTAGCAAGTGTCATAGATCTATACTCAGCTTCTGCACTAGATCAAGCAAAAACATTTTGCTTTTTACTCTTCCAAGAAATCAAATTCCCTCTTATCCCTCCAATAAAGATATAATACCCAGTAGTAAATCTTCTATCAATAGGATAATCAGCCTAATCTGGATCACAATAGCTTAGGAGTTGAGTATTACCTTTATTTTCATATAACAATCCTTGTCCTGGGCCCCTTTAACATATCTCAGAATGCGACTCAAAGCATCCCAGTGATCAGCACAAGGATTTTGCATAAATTGGTTAACTACTGCAACTCTAGTCTAGTAATAGTGAGATAAATGAGTTTACCCTTTTAACAACATATCTCAGAATGCGAATCAAAGCATCTCAGTGATCAGCACAAGGATTTTGCATGAATTGATTAACTACTCCAATTGCATAAGAGAGATCTGGTATGGTAATAGTGAGATAAATGAGTTTATCGATCAATCTGCTATATCTCTCTGGATTCTGGCAACCTTTCTCCTTTATCTCCCATCAATTTCTGATTAGGATCCATTGGGCTATCAATGGGCTTACACTTTGTTAAACCTGTATCTTGCAGAATATTAAGAGCATATTTCCTTTGAGTTGATAACATCTTTCTTTGACTGGGTCACTTCAATACTATGAAAATACTTCAATTAACCAAGATCTTTGATTTGGATGTGAGCAAATAAATGATTCTTAAGTTGATTGATCTTAGTATAATTATTGCCTGTAATGACAATACCATCAACATAAACTGTGGGAAATCAAATAGTATTTTAGGAAAGAATAAATTAGGAAATTTGTATATTTCCTTGTAATCTATACAGATTTGAATAATTAGGAACAATCCCATAAATCAAGGGATCTTAGCATAAAATAGAGTTATTATATTTCCTAAAATAGCTTAGGTCTCCTGTATATATCTTATATCATCTCTTTGTATTAAAATAATAAAAATCATATTTCAGTTAATCTAATTTTCCGGATGGTATCGAGCTTCGGATCTAGGAAGCTCGTCTCACGCGATAAACCCTAAGACGGCGACTGCATTGCTGCTTGCATATTTCTTAACCCTAAGACGGCGGCACTGCATTGCTGCTTGCATTTTCTTAACCCTAAGACAATGACTGCATTGCTCGTTGCATTTTTCTTAACCCTAAGACGACGACTGCATTCTTCGCTGCATTTTTCTTAATCCTAAGACGACGACTGCATTGCTTGTTGCATCGCATCTTTTGCTACAATGTCAAGGGAAGAGGAGATAGAAAGGGTGAAAACCGTTCTTAGTAAGCTGGAAAAACCTACGGGTATGTGTTCTTTGGCATACTCAGGTAAGTTTTCACCTTCTTTTGGATTAAATGTCTCGAGATACACCTTTTAACCATTATTGGATATTGGACTCCGGAGCCACAGATCACATGACACCATTAGCCAAACACTTCTCCACATATTCCCCATGTCCCAAGCAACAAGAAAATTGCCACAGCGAGATGGAACCCTTATAACTGCAGCTGGTCAAGGAAATATCCAAATCAATCCTTTAATAACCTTAAAAAATGTTCTCCATGTCCCAAAGCTGTCCACGAACCTAGTGTCTATACAAAAACTTATAAAGGATTTGTCATGTAAAGTTGTTTTTTTCAACGATCATTGTGTATTTCAGGACAAAGATTCGGGGAGGATGATTGAACATGCTAGAGAATGGAATGACCTTTATTATCTCGAAGATCCAAGTCTGCCCAGCAAGAATAGAATCTCTCACTCCTTCATATCTGAATCCTTGATGACCAACAGAGAAAAAATCATGCTTTATCATTGTCGGTTGGGACATCCCTCTTTTGGAGTGATCAAAATTATGTTTCCCTCTCTGTTTACCAAGTTAGATGTTGAGAGTCTTCATTGTGAGGTGTGTGAACTTGCTAAGCACAATCGTATATCTTTTCCAATAAGTAATAGAATTAGCAATGTCCCTTTCTATCTTGTTCATACTGATGTATGGGGACCTTCTAATATTCCAAATGTGTCTGGTAGGCATGGCAACGGGGCGGGGGCAGGATTTGCCTCCCCGATCCCCGCCCCCGACTTTTTTAACCATCCCCGGCTCCGCTCTCGATCCCCGCCGGGGTTAGAAATTAAGTCCCCATCCCCAGTCCCTGTCTGGGTTCCCAGCCCAGTCCCCGATTTATATTATTTTTAAAAAGATAATTACATTTATAATAAATTAATTTTACTATCTATTTTTTATATATAAATAAATATTTATAATTTATAATTATTATTAATTAAATATATATTTTAATTTATTATATTTATATTAAAATATATATGTAAAAGAAATATTTAATTATTTTTTATTTATAATATTATTATTATTATAACATTGTATTCAAATATTTGAATATTTATAACACTATTATTATAATACTTGTATTCAAACATTTGATTATATATATAAGTTAATTCATTTTTAAGTTGTCATTTAAAAATATGAAATATATTATTTATAAGGAAATATGTAATAAGTTAATTCTTATTCAATTAGTTCGAAGTAATAAAAATTTAAATTATCAATTCCTTTAATCCTTTAAAATACAATTATTTTATTAAGATAAAATTTGATATATGATAAATAAGAATAATAAGATAAAAAAATATGACATAATAAAACCTAATAAATATAAATTATAAATAAAATAATATTAGTTACTACTTTATGTAAAATATTTAGAAAAAAAGATAAAGAATAAAAAAAATTAACTTTGTGTTCATCAAATTGGTTGAAAAGATTGAAAAAAAAAACAAATTGATGAGAGAGATTAAGGAGATGTGAAAAATTGAAAGGTAAGAGAAAGAATAATGTAATAAATTAATTGATATAAAAGATTAAAAAAGATAAAAAAATTAAAAAGTGGGTAGAAGAAAAAAAATTTGGTGCAATATAAAAAAATGACCTTATATGTAAAAAAGAAAAGGAAATACTTTTAGAATATTAATATTTTAAAATTTAAATTTAAATATAAAGTTGGGGCGGGGACGGGGTCGGGATGGGGATTGCATTACCCATCCCCGCCCCGCCTCGACTTTTTAAAGCGGGAAAACCCGAACCTGCCCTCGTCCCCGGTCAACTCGGGTTTTCCCCGTCAAACTCGGGGCGGGGACGGGTCGGTCCCCATGGGGACGTGTTTAATTGTCACCTTTAGTGTCTGGTACTCGATGGTTTGTCACCTTTATAGATGACTGTACAAGGGTCACTTGGGTTTTCCTACTTAAACAAAAATCAGAAGTCAGTTCTGTCTTCCTAAACTTCCACTCAATGATAAAAAATCAGTTTGGTGTTAATATTAAGAGGCTTAGGTCAGATAATGCCAAAGATTACTTCAATCATGTCCTTAATTCTTTTTGTCAAAAAGAAGGTATAATTCATGAGTCCTCTTGTGTCAAAACACCACAACAGAATGAGGTCGCAGAGAGGAAAAATGGACATCTATTAAATCAGACTCGGGCATTATTGTTCCAAAAAAGTGTTCCACAAAATTTATGGGGGGAAGCTGTCCTTATAGCAACATACCTTATCAATAGACTACCCTCTAGAGTCTTAGGATCAAAAAGCCCTATGGAAGCTTTGTCGTCTTTCTATCCAAACTTGTCTACTACAAATAATGTTAAACCAAGAGTTTTTGGGTGCATCTCATATGTTCATATTCATAGTACAGACAGGGGGAAACTTGATCCTAGAGCCTTAAAGTGTGTCTTTGTTGGTTACTCACCCACTCAAAAAGGGTATAAATGCTACCACCCCCCATCCAAAAAATTCTTTGTGTCTAAGGATGTTACCTTCAATGAACAAGAGGGCTATTTCCATCAACCTTATCTTCAGGGGGA